GGGGGGCCCTGCCAAGTTCATGGCGACACTTGTCCTCCCGGGCATCGTCCCCGGTGGCGTGCCGCCAGGCTTACTCGCCTCTCTCTCTGCACGTGTGTTACAGGTAGGAAAATGACTCTCCTGGCCCGGGAGCAGGAGTTAGGAGCCACGTCCCTGTGAGACCTCCAGAATTAAGAGCAAATGCCTGGAGAAGTGCAGTTGCCCAGAGCAGCGCGGCAGCTCTCGTGAACGGCGGGCGTCGACGCCTCTCAGACCTGCTCCTCTGGCTCCGAGCACTGCCCGCACTGCCTACCCCACGAATGGCTACTCAGAGGAAGCACTTGGTGAAAGATTTCAATCCTCATATCACCTGCTATATCTGTAAAGGCTATCTCATCAAGCCAACCACAGTAACCGAGTGCCTCCATACCTGTAAGTAGTGCTTTGCAACACACGCCTCCTTCGGAAGCGATACTGCCTTGAAGTGTTGTTGCGTGTTTAATGTGACATCCGTACTGGGTTTTGGTTACTTCTGAAGTGTTGCATGAAATGGTATGCAGTTTCTGGTGGGGTTTCCGAGGCACTGGCCTGCCATTTGGTCATCTCGAGGGCATGTCAACTCTGCTTAACACCTTGCAGAGTAAAGATACCCGCTTGCTTACCCCAAGCTGGTGGTGATCGTGCTGGCTCTAGCACCAAACGTATCGCTGTGGCCTGGCAGATCTCAAGTAAGATCATTAGGTCGGGTGTGGTATTTCGATAACATAACTCTGCTTTTGAAACTTCAGCCAATGTATCTGTTGGCAGTGTGAATGATGGATACACCGGTTTGGTCAGTACTGGCTCACATCTCTCTGCAATGTGTTCCATGGCACAATGCATAGAAATACTTGAAAGTTGGCAAAATATTTATTTAGGGAGTAGACCTTTTCTAAATGAAACCAACGCAGGAAAATTATTCAGGTTGTCTTATGCTCTTAATACTTCTAAAACATTTGCTTGTACAAACTACATTAAATGTATGAACTCAGTTGTCTTACTTCCACAAGCTAAGTTACTTACATGTTTGATTTTTTTACATTTATTCCTGACTAGAAGATAGTTTGCTTGGACCTTCTGGAGAATTTGGTGTCTTTCCAAATAAAATTTGAATTGTCCTAAAAGAAGAGTAAGGGAGAATATATGTTTTCTGGTAGATTTTCCATTTTTAAACCTTCAATAAATATTAGTTAAAAGACTTGTCTTAGCATTTCTGTCATTTCTGCACGGTGTTATTCTTGCAGTTGTTATTGTCTTCACTGTTAATTTTTACTTCTAATTTTTACTAGTATATCAAGCACATAGAGAATTGAAACTTGTAATTCCTATGTGTTGCTCATAGTACAAAGATAATACTCTTTACCATTGCAATAATACTATTTTTAGTTTTGTTTTTGAGAAAAAATAGTGTTGAACTGACTTTTTCCAAGTCTAACATCAGCTAAGGGTTATAACATGTTTTGTGGTATTATTCTTCTGGTTTGGGTTACTTGGTAAAGGAATTTAAGTTCAGGAGGAGAGAAGTTAAGCAAAGTGTCCTTATAAGAACTTGAAATAAAACAGGAGGGAGAAAGGTATATTAGCTATTATTAAGTTATTTCTTTCTCTTTAAAGAAAATGGAAAAATTCCACCATCAGTTAATTTTTTTATTGTTGAAGTTCAATGAACAATAGCAACTTTTAAAAGGTTGGGGTGAGGAGAAAAAAATTGCATCAGAAATCAGCTTAGACTTAGAAAAAAATTGTTTTCATTATGGTATCTTTCTGTTTAGATAATTTATTTGTTTATTTACTTTTGCTCCCATTACAAAACAATAATGGCAGAAGGAGTGGGTTTTTTTTTCAGCAGCATCTGTTTCTCTTGTTCACTTGTAGATTGTGAACTCTTCACTGGGACAGTTCTGTTACAGCCCTGTCCCCAGATCAGTGCATGTGAATTTTACTGAGCTGCCGTATAGTTGCACAGGTCTCCTCACAGAAAAGCTGCCATGTGTTTGGGTCATTAGGTAGAACTGCAGGAAAGAAGGTGGTGTTTCTTTAAAGCAAAGTTTAGTTGGCAAAATATGAAGCTTACAATGATGGCAAGAAAAGTTAAAAACGTCAAGTGGTGATATGGAAGTCGTATGTCTGTAGGGGAAATGATGATCTGTATGTGGCAGAATTCAGGAAGATACTCTGATAAATTAATTTACACTTTGACTTTTAGAAAATATATAAACTTTTTTTTTTTTTTTGTTGAAGTACAGGTATGGTTCTGCAGTCATATCTAAATAGTTACCACAAAATACCATGATTTTAACTGTTCTTTGGTATTTATCTTACACTGGTAACTGCCGTAATTCAAAACAGTGTTGCACAAATGATCAAAATCTGCAGATATTAATGGCTTAAGAAGCAGCATAAATTCATTAGATAATGGGAGTACAGCGTGTTACTCTGGACTAGATGAAAAGCATGTATTGACATAGGTGTTCTCCAGTGATCACAGAGGAACTGATGTGATCAGTAGTAACCGAATCAGTTAGTGGTTAATTCACATCTTCTGTGTTGCTGAAAAATGTTAAGCAGTAAAGTTCTGCTCTGAGAAATGTGTGCCTTCTTAATAAGATTTTTTTTTTTTTATGTGGTTTTGGGAAATGTTGGATAGACTAGACAGCTCCACTATTTACTGGGAAGAGTAAGTTCAACTTAGGAAGGTTTGTACGGCTGGTGCCCATCTGTTGGGAAGGAAATGCTTATATTACTATGAAATAATTATTCTGCAATTCCAGTACTTTGTTTCTTTTTTGCTACTTGCAAAAGAATGGGTTTGTTTTATGGACCGAGACCTTTTTTTCTAGTCTGTTACTCAGTTGTCAAGGATATTTAAGAACTACTGGTTGAAGCAAGCTAGATGAGAGCTAAAGGGTACGTCCCATCATCTGTCTCCTGAGTCACTCTGTTGTTCAGTACAGTGTACGTTTGCAAAACTTGGAAAATAAACTTTCTTTAGGAACATTCTTTAATGTTCTAAAAAAATATCAGACTGTTTACACAATGGTAGAAATGTTGGTTGGAAGGGACATCTGGAGGTTGTGTAGGCCAGCTTCATGCATGAGGCAGATTATTTCCCAACACTACACCAGATCAAGCCCTGGCTCTCTGTGTAGTTGAGTTAGGAATTTCCAAGTGTGGAGTCTCCACAGCCTCATTCAATAACTGTTTCCAGTGCTACGCTATTTACCTAGTGAAGAGGTTTTTCTGAATGTCCCACCAAACAACAGCTTGTGACCATCGCTGCTTGTTATACTATTTGCCACTATCAGGAAGAGCTGGGCTCCATCACTCCTGTAACTGCTATGCAAGTGATATAGGCTGTTGTTATATCACCTGCTTGCCTCAACCATGATTCACTTTTGCTAATCGATATTGCCTATTCCTGATTATGTTTTTGTCCCTCACGTGGTTGGAAATTGATTCCCAGGGACATGACATGGTCTGCCATCTTTCCAGGGAGCTAGGGGAGACTGTTAGCTGTAGTTACCTGGGTCATCCTTCCCATCTTTCTTAAAGGTGGGCATAATACACTACCCTTTTCCAGTGTTCAGGCACTTCCCGTAATCACCATGATTATGGTGATAAGCTTTCAGCTTAGTGAATCCTACCTGGCCTATAGATTTGAATACATCCAGCTTTTCTTGGTAGTCCCTAACCTGCTGCTCCCGGGGTGCTGGTCATCCCTGTCCTTCCCAAATCATGCTGGTATGCATGGAGATCTGGCTCTTCCTGTGACAACTGAGGCAAAAAAGGTATTGAGGACTTCAAACCTTTCTGTATGGTCTATTCCTAAGTTGTTTCCCTCATTTATTAACAGACCCACATTTTGTCTCGACTTCCTTCAGCTACTAGCAGAATCCCCTTATGTCTTTCATCAAGTTTTAGCTGTGACTGGGCTTTGGCCTTCCTAATTTCGTCCCTAAGTGCCAGAGCAATGATTTTATATCCTGTTGTTTCCCATCCTTGTTTCTACTTCTAATATGCTCTGGTTTTTGCGTATTAATTAGGAATCTTGTGCACTAAGCAGTTCTTCTGACAAAATTCCCTGTACGATGGGCTGGTTAATTCTTGAGCTCTAAATAAATTTCCTTTTAAGAAAACCATCCAGCTTTCCTTTCTTTCTAATGATAGCTTCTTTAGGAAATCTGACTGGCAGTTGCTTAAACAAGCTGAAGTCCCATCGCCTGAAGTTCAGAGTCCTAACTCTGTGGCTTAACTTTATATCCTTCCTCAAGATCCTGAACTCAGTCATCCTGAGGTCACTGCAAGGCAAGCTGCCATCTGCAGCTGTATTCATCACCAGTTTTTCCTTGTTCATGGCCAGCAGGTCAAGTGGTTCATTACTCCTAGTTGGTTTCTCTAGTATTTGCCTTAAGAAATTGTCAACGAGTGCAGTCTAGGAACTTTCAGAAATGTCCTTCCATGCAGGAAAATAACCAGAGCTGTAATTTTAAACATCAAACCAATAATCTTGCAACCGGAGTATTTTTCAGATCTTGCTAAAAACTTACGCTCTCACCAGAAGACTTTACTGCAGCAAAATTTCCCACTCTTAGACAGTCAAGCTGAGCTGCTTTTGTACTCCTCCTGTAGATGCTTCAGTTGGTAGCATGTAGCAGGTCTTAAAGGTTAGCAGATCTGTCTGATTTTGAAAGAAGATTTTAACCCAAAAAGCCTTTCTTGATCACCATGCATTGAAATTCTCTCTCCCTTTTAACAGAAGGGAATCCAGTCTGGCTGTGTTCGGTAGTTGTAATTAACAGTGTAGTCACCTCACATGTATAGTTTCTGAGAAGGGTAATGAAGTATATCAAAGTTTTCTGTCCTGTTTTTCTGCAGACGGTTTCCCTAAAAATAAGTGCTTTTAAAGCAGGTTTAAGGTAGCTAATTAAATACTTCATTGAACATAGCACAGAGATGTAGCAAGTCATTTGCTGTCACTGAGATGGGTTTGATGTTCCACTAGCTGTGTGTATCCTGTGCCCCCCTCCTTTGCTCACTATGAGAGAGTGATTAACTTTGAGAGAGGACATCCTTGGAAGAATTCAAAGGATGAGGTCTGACAGAGAATTTGTCCCACAATTAACTGATCAAACTTTCTCCTGTAGAATATTTTGTTAAAAAATGCAATATGAGATTTTATTTAGGTACCTTGTTTATCAGCATTTAAAAATACCTAGGAAGAGTCTTCTCATTGAACAATAGGCGTGTAGATATACATAAGATGTGTACTTTTTTTTGTTTGCATAAGATGACATACAGCACCGTCCTGACACTTGTATCTGTATTTTTCAGCTGATTACAAAGATCTGAAAGAATGTGTGAACCACATACCTCTGTATTGGAAAATGTAGCAT